TGCTCGTATTGTTTGCATTCTGAGCAGTCTAACAAGGGAGTACCAATTTGGCGGCTGGTGACTTCACAGCACCCTGTAGTACCAACAGCCTATCACCAATCCAGTGAAGAAATAGAGATCAGTGGCTCTGAGACCAGAAACGTCACATGATTGAAATGTTAGATTTGAAATGCGTGTTTTTCTTTTCCACTGACTCTCTTGGTCCTCTGTACAAAAATGTTAACCCTCTCCGTCCTTTGAAGGTTCATTGGGTTCAGAACACACAGAACTCAACAGGAAGGAAATGGAAAAGCATGTAGCTATTTAAGAGTGATATACTTTGTTTTTGATTGACAAAAAGACAATACTTCAGTTACAGAAATAAGAAAGATGGACTATGTAGAAAACTCTTAAGTTTAAAGTATCTTCCCATTTGGTTATAACAGACTATAGGCTATCCCATACACTTTAAGAAATGCATTTTCTTAAAGATCCATGATTAAAAAAAATGTTTAACAGAGATTATAAATCATTCTCAATTCAATTTCAATAAAGACTTTTCTGTCCAGCATTCATTGCCCTGAAAACTGAAACAATCCCTTTTTTTCATTTGTTGCATAGATTTGACATTCTTGAATTTGAGTCAGGTGAATATCAAAAGGACTTCAATGCTACTGTCACCAAATATTTAGATGTTTAGGTGCTGCTGCACTTGTGTTTAAGAATGGATGTGCTGACTGCAAAAGAGGAGGAAGAGAGGGAGAGATGGGGGGGATGGAGGAGGATGATGAGGGGACTGTGGTACTGTAGCCATGCATCAGTAGGAGGTGAGACTACAGCCGTGACACCACAGTTTGCAGCCCGGGGAACAGTGAGGGAGCCACTGTTTGTTTGGCACCTGAAATGGACCGTCTTGTTTTGTTCTCCTTTCAGCCGTGGCTGCCCACAGACACCTTTAGGGCCACCTGTGCTGAAGTGGCAGAAAGAATTGCATGAGCAGGATGTGAGGCTGCCAAATCTGCATATGCAGGGAGAAACTGTCTTTTACACGAGTAGGCTTGCTCAAAATGTTGACGGATGAAGGGCACCAAAGTCAGAATGGCTTACCTCAAATGTCTCATATGCACACTGAGACAAACAGAGCCACTAAGGGCTTGGGTATGTGTGTCATTAGTGCTGTCCCAGATGCTCTGAAAACAGACTGCCCTGCAAATGCATTGCATTTCCAGAATAACTCCCTGCAGCTCATTACTGAAAATGACACTATTTAATATACTCTGTAGTGGAAATAATTTAAATGGAACAATTACAGCACTACAACAGGATAGTGAAGTAGGATTGGGGCTGAATGGCTATTTCTGATTGCAGCTTCTGGAGCTGTGTGTTATCAGAGCAATCAGATTAGTGAGACAAAGAAGTTAAATGTCTGCAGGTGCAGTAGAGAGATAGGCAGAATCAGAACTGAATCACCAGGATCTCAAATATTGTCATGTGTCAGTGTCGTTAAATGCATTGTTTCCAGTCAATAGGTCAGTCACTGCAATAATGCATTGCAATGCATTATTATCTTACAGCAGATGCAAGACCCACTGAAATAGTTACACGATCCAAGGTTTTTCCCCCTACTGTATATGATGAAAAACGATTTATCAGGGTATTCATCCAGCTCCATCCGCACAGCCCGGGAATCTGCACCCTGCAGTGGATTACAAAACGCTGCATGTGTAGAACAAGAGATCAATTTTCCAACCCGTCTGCATTTTTTTTTAACCCCTTTCTTAGTAGATGCCACATGCACGGCAGGTTTAATGCAGAAAGACGCTGGTGCAACAGATCAGCGAGTGCCTCAGCGTGTCGGAGCCATAGCCCGGCGGTGAGCTTACCCTCTGCTGCCACAGCGCACCGGACAAGGAGAGAAATCAGAGCCGCAGACAGCATGCGGTTTGCGAACATCCCCGCTGCTCCGGCTCGCAGTCCGCTCCTCAAACACCTCCTCCTCCTCCCTGTGTCTCCTCCGGCTCTCCTCCTGCGCGGCACGCATCCATCATCGCAGTCTGCCCCGCAGGCTCCCGGTGCGTCGGGATGACCCACCCGCCCATCACTCTTCACACTGGGAGCCATATCCAGTGGACAAGTTGCTGAAGTTTGGCTTGTAAATAATGCATTGAATAAATCCACGTGTGTGAACGGGGGGAAACACGGTCCATACGCCGTGGGTCCGGAGCTGGATAGATGGACCCGGGGGAGGGGAGGGGGAGTGAGGGACGCGGCGTTGAAGGGAAATTAAGGAGCGCTCCCTTATAGCTCCGCTGCGCTTGGTCCACCCAGCATCATCCTATGGCGCAGAGAGGCGCTCTCACTTTGTCCATCGGTTTGGCTTTTAGCCGCTCGAAGTGAGGAGTCTCTGAGCTGTGTGCGGGAGGGGGGGCATTAAGTCACCAATGTGAGCAGGTTTCCACGCTCAGCAGGAGGCTGTATCATCTAGGTCGGCTACCCTTTTGGCCAGACTGAACCAAAATAGCTTCTTACAAGGTGAAAAGCTGACCTGTCTGCATGGCGCCCTCTGCTGGCTGTGAAGGGGAACTAAAAGCCAACTTATATTTTTAAAACATTTCTTTGCTTTTCTTGTTTATTTATCAAGTTAACTATACTTAACAATCCGCAATTATAACAAAAACGACATTTTCAACTCAGCTACAATTAAAACTGAACTGAAATCTCATTGTTTGTCAAGTAAGACGTTTATATCAGTAGCTGCTGTACCTCTTCAACTCCACTCGGGGGCAGCATTGGCTTACAAAAGTTGCTTTCACCCTCCTGCAGGTATGGAGGTTGATTTTGGAATAATTTCATATTACTGTTAAAATAAAAATAAAAAGATAACACATTACTGACATTACAGATAATATTACTATTGTATTGAACCTTTTGATTGTTATGAAAGTACAATAATATTTATTATTATTAAGAAATTATAGTAAATTAATTTTGGATTATTATTATTTGGTTACGTATATTATTTGTTAAATTCCAAATTTTATTTTGTTATTGTTTTTTTTATGAGTCCTTTCAGCTAACATGTTAACTACTTCAGCATTGGAATATGCTGTCAATGTTCACGTATTTGTACCATCTTTTTTAAATTATTTTGTACTGCATAGATTAAATTATTATTTTTTTTCTTCTCAAGACTAAATGCATACACTATATTTCAATTCTTGACAGTAAACTTTGTTGATCAATAGTGCAGTGGGTAGCACTGCTGCCTTGCAGCAAGAAGGTTTGAGGTTTGATTCCCAGGAGTATGGAGTTTGCATGTTCTCCATGTGCATGCGTGGGTTCTCCCTGGGTACTCTGGCTCCCTCAGTCCAAAAACATGATGGTTAGGTTAACCTGCTTCTCTAAATTCTCTTTAAGTGTGAGTGTTTGTGAATGGTCGTTTGTGTTGTGTGTCTCTGTGTTGCCCTGCGATAGAGTGGCGACATGTCCAGGGTGTACTCAGCTGGAGATAGGCAACCCCTTGCGACCATGCTTGGGATAAGCATGACAGAAAATGGATGATGGATAATAAACTTGGCTAACTTTACATTTTTGCTTCATTATAAAAAAAAACTCTGCCTCATGTTTGGAGCTAAAGTCCAGGGTAAACCGTGTGAAAGTAAAATGACTCTGGTAATTGTGTATGGAAATGCTACTCAGGCTTTGAGAAGCCTGGGCTTTTGGCAATGGAAAAGGGATATTTGTCCTGTCAACCTCATTGCTCCCATCTTTAATAAAATAAACTGTGAAAAACAGTCAGAAGACAAAAGTAGTTGCATCAATATATTTTTTTTAATTCAAAGTGAATCTTAACAATAATACACAATAAAGTCTTATTTTGACACTCACCAAAAGAGTCACCTGGAAACCCGCTTAATGTGACAAAGTAGAGAAGGCTTGGTCACACCTAAATCACTGAGAACTAGAGAGGAAACACTATCGCAAACTGTATAAGAGACATCACATCCATAGAGTTAGTTTTCCCAGTCCTCATACTGTAAATATTGCACAGTGCAATTGCTACATGGCAAACTAGTGTAGCACAAAATAAAAAAAGGAAAGGAAAAAGCAAACAAAACATAAAACCAAAGCCACCAAAAAACTAAAACAGGTGAGTCCATAACTTGCAGTGTGAATTAACTCTGAAATTGACAGAGATGACCAGAAGACTGAAAATAAGCACTGGAGGAAAACCACCTTTTTCAGTCAAATCAAAGATTTACAAAGTAGCACATGAAGATTAACAAGAGACCCTGAACTAAGATTTCTAAAGGATTTTCAGGTCAAAATCACTCATTTTATCAGGAATTTGAAAGATTTTGTATGCTAAACTTTATTTGGAATCGTCCAAATCCCATAAACAACAGTTTTTCATGACTTAAAACAAAATGGAAAACTTCTCTCCTCTTGCATCCATTCGTTTGCGTGACAAGAACAAGGAGAGTTGATGCAGGCGCGTTGCTGGTGAAAAAGCTTTTGAGGGAGAGAAAAACACAGATTACATTTCACATGCGACCTATCTCTAGCACTAATGCGTCCGATTCATGCCTTATCATCATAAGATTTCTTTCCCGAAAGCGGCATTTCCATGTGATCAGCAAAACATACAGCCATGAAAAAAAAGCTCTTGAGAAATAAAGCTGTATCAGCATTATTGTTTAAATGTAGAAAAGGAGTTTCCATCCAGAGCACAAAATCAACACAACAAAATATAACAAAGAACTCCAGCTCCTTTGATTTTAAAAGATCTGTGTTATCAGTTGTGCTCTGGTTGCTCCAACTTAGCCCTGATCTGCATGCCAGAAGACAGAAGTGAAGCAAAGTGTGCATGTGATCATGCAAGGTGATGTAAAGCATGGAGATTATCTAAGAACACTTGGTGGTGCAATGAACGCACAATGGAAAGTATTGCATCTGCTGTTCAGCCAGAGTGACTATCTGAAAAATTGCTGCGCATCATATAATTCGACTGTGGGGTTTTATTAGCAGGCTGTGGTCACACAGAGGCTTCATCGCTCCTTTCTAATAGATCTGGAGTCAAAAGACTCTAAGATGAAGTCCTACTGGAAATGTTTGTTCCCTCCGTCTTTTCTCTAAAGCGGTTGCTACCTAAATAATCTTGGGATTCTCTGCCTTTTTTTTTTTTGTCTGTTTTTTTTCACGGTCTGGATCTCAAGGCACATGCACAGTGCTGCTTACACTGTCTCAGTTTCAATAAAGGACACGTAACAACGGCCACCGCCTAGCACTGACAAAAACACTTTGATACGAGTCACTCATAAAGGGGGAGCGATCTGAACGCAAGGCAGGTTAGAACGTCAAAGCGATATTCTAAGCAACATTAAACAGAGAAAACAGTTTGCTGTAAATACCTGGAATCGTTTTGACAAGAAGTAAAAGTTGTGAAAAACTGCTTTGGAGCAAAAAAACATTTTGGGGGGGGTAAAAATTTAAGTATCTTATCTCAATCAAATGTTTTCCAGGCCTCAATAGATGTGGAAGAGCTTAGTATGAAGTGGGTTAGTGTGACCGATGTGACTGAGACACGCTGTTCTTTTGTTGTTCTTGTTTGTGTTCTGGCATCTCACAGTGCTCCCACAACTCACTAAAAAGTGATACAAGGTGTTTGTGCAATGAGAAAGTTAAATCAGTCCTGCAAGCTACAGCGTCAGATGTGTACAGAACATTGATATGGAAACATACAAAACTTAAGTTACATCGATACATCGTTTATATGCAGTGACGAGCCCGAGAGGTTAATAAGGATAAAATACTGATGCTGAAAAAAACACGCACCCCGAATAACAACAAATGCAACTAATGTTCATCATCAGCAAGTACAGTAGTTACAGTGACACTCCAAATATGAACGAAACACAGAAATCAAAACCACTTCTAGTTCAGATAATTAGGGACCTATACAAAATGCTAAGTTTAAACTCAGAGCGAAATCACCTAATTTCACAGCTATTGAAGTGGCAATCATCATATAGCAGCTTATCTATGATACATTCAAGAAATGATACGACTCATTAATTGCCCAATAAGCTAGACAAAACATTTTTTTTTCGTGTTTTTTTTTTTTTTTTTAAATAGAACTTTTTTTTTTCTTTGAAACAAAACCTTGAAATACAACTACAGTATAACTGAGGTCTATGCAAACAGAATAGCTAAGAATAGCTACCTTGCTGAATAAACGAATTACAGTCTTTGGTGCTGCACGAGCGACTTCATTTGAAAAACAAAAGACAATAGCAAAGAGGGGGAAAAAAATGGACACACAACAGATTAGTCAACTGAGGACACATCCATGTGAAAATGTCAGGTTTCTGGAAGGTTAGCATGTAAAATCGAACATTGAAACTAAAATCAAGTACTTTATTGTAACATCTTTCAATTCAGTTTCAGCATTCAGCCTCCATTAGTTCCCCGTATCTTGACTAAGCATCACAAGTTCCCTCTACCAAGCTTAAACGTCTCAGTTTATATCAACATCTTCTGTGCATGGCTCTCTGCAACAGATTTGTTTTAGTCAAACTTGGTTCTTTCATCTTGAATTCCATTATTTTCAAATGAAATACTTTGTTTCTTAGCTTGGATGTAAGCTTGCGTTCATTCTGGCATTGGTAAATAACTTTACCGCTGTAGGATTGTTCAACTACCTCCTCTCTGAAAACTGTCTACATCAAGATCTCGTTAATCCTCAATGAACTATAGCTTTACCTAACGGAACCGAATGAACACATAGAAGCACAATCCTAGATGGACTGCTAAGCTTTATTTCAGGTTAATAGAACTCACTTGTGTAAAATTAGGAAAACTGAACGCAGGAAAAGGACTGAAGTTGCTTCAACAAAGTTTTAATCTAAGGGGAATCTGTCGGATTAGTTTTTTTGTTTTTTTTTTCCTTTTACATCTTGCTTAAAAAATTTTGGTTGCTTTTATTTCACTTTATTGGTACAGTAAAAAAATGCCACATTAAAAGTAGAATAAGTCTGAAATGATTAATCAAATCCTCATGTCTATATAATCACACATATCTGGCATTTTTGCAGGGATGTGTATTTTTGAGCCACTGTAAATCAACAAGGTAAATAAAACACACACACACACATATACATATATATACACATATATATATGTATATCTATATATATATGCCATTATCACACATATATATGTATCTATATCCTCCCTGACGGAATGTATAAAAGTAGTTGACACTGATAAGCATTAAGCCTTTAACAAATGGTATTAATGTAAAAGGGAAAAGTTAAGTTTGTCACACATGCATAAATGAGAGAATTGCACACAATTACCTCACACCTTAACAAGCATCTGTACTAAATATTCTAGCTCTATAATATATGTCATATATGTGTGTATATCAAACACTGCATGGTTTGCCCAGGCTAAGAATATTCCAAACCGTAAAATGAATTTGCATGTTCTGTTTTTTTTTTTAAACCTACCTAATCAAAGCCATGCCTGTCACACCTCTAAACATCTAAAAAAAACAAAGAAAACACAAATCAAATCAAAAAGACAATAAAAAAAACAAAAAAAACAAAAAGAAATATTCAACCAACGACTATTTAGATTGTATTGCAGTTTTTAAACAGTACAAATACTGTTAGTAGTAAGAGTTTCACTAAATAGAAAGTGATTATCAAATGTTAAGCAATACTCAGTACTTGCACTTTGTACACTAGTTCATTCGGAAACAGAGAGGGCAGAAAAAAAAATCTAATGTTTATCAGGAAACAGCAGGCATTCGCAACAGCAAAAGCATGCCGTTCTTCTTGAAAGAACAGAAAAAGGAACTCACTACACACTGAAATATACATAGACTCCGAAAAAAAGTAAGCACCGCTCTCCGCGATACATCACATCCATGCAGGCTATGCATGGAACATATACACATGTGCATATATATACTCACACATAGGATGCATCGACTGATTGGAATTTCAAGTGCTGCAGTCCAGTACATTAATATTCATGTATATAGTCATATATAAGTAGTAACATTAACAACCTCAAATATGTAAGGCACTATGGCTGGGGACAGTTATACAATGCAGCGAGTCTTGTGACACAAACGATAGGGGCAACGTCTATGCATCTTTCCGTTTACATTTTTGCTCATGCAAGACCACATGCAGCGTGAACGACCCTAGTTAAATCGGATAACTGACTTGACATTGCGACACCGAAAAGACACCGAAAAGGTACGAATACTTCAAACGCGGTACAACATACACCGTGGACAACATGTGCATCCGTCGATCTACAACTAGAGGCTCGGATGGCTTTACAAATATGGATGTGTCTTGCACACATAAGAAGGCAATGTAGAAAAATAGCTGGGACCGGGGGGTTTCTAACTATTCAACAACACCCCAATTATTTACCTGTCTTGAGGAGTATTCGTAGAAGATCCAATGCAAAGATATATCAAATGTGCAAAACACATTAAGTGTGACTTAAACTACTCATTCATTCTTTCATTCAGTCATTCATACATTATTTCCTTCTTTAATTTTTGCCAAATCATCTGCTCTGTTGGAAATCTTTTTTTTTCTCTTCTCTCTTTTTCATTTTAAAGCTCAAAGTTCAATTACAACCAAGTCTAAATGATTCAAAAAATAGCTTGTTTTCTCTGTGGTTGTGCCATGGTTTCTGTTTTTTTTTTTATCAGTGATGAAAACCATGTTTGTGGATTCAGATAGGCTGTTGCCCTGCTTAGCCCCCAGGTGGTAGGAACGCTATCATGGCCACGCTCAGATGTAGGGATACTGGTTCAGTTTGGTAGGGCTGAGGGGGAAACTGCCGTAAGCAGGCGAGGCGATGTAGGAGTGAGGGGGGAAAAGAGGTTTGAATTGGCTCTGTGGATGCAGGGTGGGGGAGGGCAGCAGCCGGGGGTTGATGCTCACTGCCACTTGGTGCACGATGCCTGCTGGGTGGGATATGCCATAGGTGGGCTGGAGGACAGGGCGGGAGGCACCAGGGGATGCCAGGAGGTGGGCCACGGGGGTCGCTGTAACAAGAGGACCAGACGACGGGTAGGACAGGAGGGTAGGCTGAGAATGCGGGTGCCCTCCAAGGTGGGGGTGGGGGCCCGTTACGTGGTTGGGGCTGCTGTGGGACAGTGTAAAGGTGTGGCCATGCATGGTGGGAGGGATGTAGGCCTGCGGTCGCCGGTTGGCAAAGTTCCCGTTCCATTCTTGGTGGCATGAAGGGAAATGCTGAACCTGAGGAAGAGAAGAAGAAATCTTAAATCTGGTGCAGATACTCTTGGCTTCTTCTGGTTTGTGAGCTGATGACCTGGTGATTTCCAATCCTACAAAAGCACTTTAAAAAACAACAAAAAAAACTACTTCATATTATAATACTTAATATGGTTTACAAAACAAGGAAATCATAAAGGCGTTATGTAGAACGAAGCAGGAACATTCTCATCAGATTATTTTGTCATTTTACAAATGATCAAATAAATGACGCTGATCTTATGATCTAATCTAAAGTTCTAAATTCTTTGCTGGACATAAATGTAACTTTTGTTTACCTTTAGGAAAGGTTTTTAGTTTAAGGTATAACTTTAAGGTTGATCTGTTGTCATCTAAATACCTTGGCGTGGACAGAAGGGAAGACTGCAGAAGTCGCATTTTGCAAAAAACAGAGAATTGAGAGTCCTTCCTATAATACCCAGAAGCGGTTCTGCCAGGCGCCCAGATATTTGTAACTACAGGTATTTTTTTCACCTTTTAAGCATTTAAAGAAAGCAAATGTTATAAAACGTTTGATCTGTACTTCAAAATGTATCAAGCAACCCTCACAGAGAGGCTCTAAGTGTTTCGTTTAGGAATCCACTGTTTGTTTGCTTAAAATCGATCACTATAGACATGTTTTATATGCATTTTTCCCATGGTTTTATATTTGTGTTTTCAGATTTAGCATATTATGCTATCATATTTATAATTAAGACTTTATGGTCCTATATCATGCTTTTTAAGCCCTCTGATGTCAGGTATAAGCATAAATATGAAAAAAAAATATGATCACCCTAGAGCTGCTGCACATAGTGACACTTTATTGTTGGCAATTAGACTGTTTTTTAAGGAGGCTGAACAAAGTCCGAGACATCTCATAGCCAGAAAAACATTTTAAATATTACCTAATAAAACAACAGTAGCTGTCACTGTGTGTGTTTTTAACACACCTCTTGCTGATTAGAGAAACTATGCATGTCTTTAACTGAACGGTGCGGCACGGCCAGGGTGGGAGCATCCTGCAGGAGGTAAGTGATCAAAGTTCTATATAAATGGACGATGGCTTCTGGTTTTTCTAGGACGGGGAGAGGCTGCTGCTACACTGCCTGGGCAGCAAATAGGTGTGAGCCTCCCATTGGATAGTTAGTGCATGGGTATGGCGTTTTAACACTGCCAAAAAGAAACGTGCATGGAATGCCAAATTGGAATGCCAACTCATCCCATGAGAGGGGAATGACAGCCCGTGTGAGAGTAAATGACAATCCACCCGAGCCCTCCTCTGAACTCCTCTGCTCGCTCGTGAAGAATTCTTCTGTTCAGGCGATTAGTATGCCGTTTTAACACTGCCAAAAGAACCCACGCGGGCACAAATCCCCATGCTTTACATGTGAGTGGTAATTAACCAATCACCAGGTTTTTGATGAAAAATAGTAAGAATTGTTAATTTTTTATGTATTTAAATCAGAAAAATGATCCAGATCAGAACTGATAAAGAGAAAATTGGTTGATCCTGATCTTTATCCAACTAATTCTTACCTCTCTACTATTTATGCCCTTAAAAATAAGGCAATGATGCTCTCCAGAGGGAATGTTTAGTCATTTGGAGTGAAGACATAGGAACAGCTACCTTGATGGATAAAGGTCTATTTACAGCACTAATCACCTACAGCACTGCCAGAAAAAAGAATCATTTGCAATTCAAATATTGCTTATCGCTGTTGATTACGCAAATGCTGTGACAACCACTCAAGTATCTTAAGAAGTCACCCTTAGTTACAAATTACTAGCTTCTTGTCACATCGAACACTCCCCCTAAAAAAAATTTAATGCCCTATCCAACACTGGTATAAATAGAGACGTACAATGAAAAAACTTAAGTTTTACTTCTGCCAGGATCCAAAGCTGCTTTTTGTGAGTGAGATTATGGGTTAATGTATCTTTGATCATGTGAAGAAAGGAGATAATGAGCTCATCATAACAAGACTTTAAATTACTCGTCTCTTCGCTTTTTCCTGGTGTTCTGTTTAGCAGTGACACCCTCCTGGAAGGGTTAGGCCCACTGCTGCTAACAGCTCCCTGTTCTCCTTTCTTTCAGTTATTGCTCTTTTTCATCCATGAGAATTAAAAACTGCCTATGAGTTTATCTTCTTGGAGTCTCTCCAAAATGAAGCTACAAAGGGAGCTACTACTGCCGTCAAGTTTTGCTTTTCTCTTACATTTAAAGTATAAGGAACTGCTTTATAGTCATCAGCATATTGGAAGCTAAGATCTGCGGCTACATGGTTGTACAGAAGAGATTGCTGTAACTGAATTGAAGCAATCAGCTGGGTTTTCCTGGCCAAAAAAACTTTGCACATATTTGATTACAAACTAAAAAAATTTTTTTTATTATAAAGAGCCAAAAAAACACATGCTGAACTTAATTCATCTGTCCATTTCCTCACCTGTCCAAAGCCAATAGGCTGCTGTTGCTGGGACTGGAACACGGTGGTGATTTTCTGCGGCCGGTTGAGTAGTGGTGTGGAGTGGTGATGCTGTCGCCCAGGAATGCCTCGCCCTTTGTAATGGCACAGAGACTCTAAGATTGAGAGATGTCATGTAACAGGAGACAGAGAGAGACAGAGATGGGGAACGCATGAATGTAGAAATATTCTTATTATTAGACTTGCTACGACAGGCAAACAGGACTTGAGCTGGAGCATATTTCTAACTGCAACAACTGCAAATGCACAGCATATCTGGGTACCCACATGGAAACATGTGCAGCTCTGTGGGCTTATCACAGATTTCTGCTGTGTGGGATCAGATCCAAAGCTTGAAACACAGATGGGTAAAAATAGAAATATGTGGAAGAGGAGGAGAGGTTTCCAACTAAGCTTGATCACAACTCTTATGGTGGGGTCAGATTATTTGCTATAAATAAGTCTTTCAGCTCTAAAATAGGAAGCTGTGCCCTTTTAAGTTGGCCATCAGTTAAAGGCAGTGAAGAGAGACGCCATCGACGTGAGAGCATTATGAGTCTGTACGGTCTTCTCCACTTTCTGAAGGCATCTAAAAAAACATTCCTCTGAAAATGTGTTGTAACTCGTGTCTACTAATCACAGCAGTTACAAAGCCCACAAAGATCATGCGTATCATGATATATATATATACATATAAATCCTGCTGAATGAATATCCTTTAAGACTATTTTGTTCAGAGCATTAAACATTTGGTGGTAATTACGCATGTATTATGCAGCTTTAGGAAACGCAGACCCAAACAGTTTCAGCAGATCTGAGATTTAGAGAAATCTAGACATCATGCAAGTGTTCACATCAGAAATCAAAGCAGATTCATCAGCACAGGGAACCCATAATCACCTGTGAGAACCTCTGTGGCCTACTAACACTGCGTAATCCCAGACCATGTGACCTGTGGAGCAGACAGCAGCAGTGTTGACCAGAACTTTGAGCTAGCATGACACATTTAAGCACTTGTTAGCTGTCTGGGAGGAGAACTCCATCAGGAATGACTTAGAACGTAAAAGGATTAATTTTGCCCATCATTGCATGTATCGCAAGCTTTAATTTATGACAGAGTGGGGTTATGTTTCTATCATAATAGACAGATCGCATCTGACAAATTAAAATTAAATTCAGTAGACATATATTTCATTGCCAGGGAGCAAAACAGAAACAGACATTGCCTTCTAAAATATATGGATTGTGACATAATAACAATTGAACTTTATTGATCTCACACTGGAGAAATTTACCTCTGCATTTAACTCATCCCCTTGGGGAGCATTGGGCTGCCATTGTGTGGCGCCCGGGGAGCAGTGTGGGGTTAAGGGTCTTGCTCAGAGACACAAAGTGCAGGCTTTGGGGATCAAACTGGGTGTGCAAACCTTTTCATAGCACAAGGGCACTGCTCTAACCCACTAGGACACTAGGCCATCTGCACATTTCTATTTTTGAAATTGTTTTTGCGCAACAAAAACTAAAATACATGGTCTTTAAGTTTATCGAGAAAAATATTTTTTAGTTGATTAGTTATTAGGTAGTTAGTTAGGGCTCCTCTGTTGCACAGTGGCTAGCATGTTTGCATTTTCTCCCTGTGCATGCTTGGGTTCTCTCCAGTTACTCCCACAGTCAAAAAAACACGACTGTTAGGTTAATTGGCTTCTTTAAATTCTCCTTAGCTGTGTGTGCATGAATGGTTGTTTGTCCTGTTTGTCTCTGTGTTGCCCTGCAATAGAACAACGACCTATCCAGGGTGTACCCGTAGGAGATAGCCACCAGCATCCTTAGCGACCCCAGCTGGGATAAAGTATGACAGAAAATGGATGGGTTGATGGATATTTATTAGTTAGAAGCAAAACCTTCTTTCTGTCTCAGCCGAATTTATCTGAAGGACTAAAACAGCGTATGGTGGGTAAACCATCTGAATACCATCTCACACAGTCCATACTGCATTTAAAATAAATCGTTTTGACAGCTACATCATTGTAGTGTAGGAAAACCCTCATTAGTAAAACACTGGCAGATTCCATCAGGAAAGACTTTCCCTCTATTATGCAGATGTTCTAGTAACAGTGTTGTTTCGAGAAATGGGAAGGCCTATATCCTTGAGGATAAGAATACTGATGCTGGTCTACAGTAAAGCAGAAAAAACACAATATATTCCCTTTCAAATGAACTATTACATATATAATATGAACATCTGATGGAGGAATTCATGGATTTCAATGTTTACCTGCATTTCCAGTTATTTCACTGTTGTTGTTCTGCACCCTCATTGGAGGCACGACCACAGTGCGGACTGTCGGCTTGCTGGGCTCAGTCACAGGGGCGATGCACGCCATACGCGGCTCACAGTTCTGGTTGCTGTCGGCGATGGAGCGCCGCTCTGTAAAGGGACTGCTGCTGTGGTCGGAGTTGTGCGAGGCAGGCGAGCTCTCCGCCGTGTCACAACCACACTCCTGCTCGTCATCTGACATGCTGGAACAGGTTGACGAGCCATTCAGATTCTGTTATATCCAAGAATAAATGCCCTGGTCTGGATGAGCATGATCAAAGAGTGGGTTACCTGTTGGGCTGTTTGCACGGGGAGTTGTTGGACTGGGCTGAAGTTGAAGAGCTGGTGCTGAGCGTACTGTCTGGACTGCTGAGGGAACAGACCCTCTCCATGCTGACAGTGCTCTGACATGCTTCACAATCTGCGCTGCCCTTACATCTGTGTTTGAAGACAGACGGAAAATTAAAGCCACAACTCATGGAACCAAAAAGTCGAGACTGAGTCCGATGCTCTGTACTTACTCCCCCATTGAGTGTCTCTGTGCATCCCCCTCTTCATCGCTGCTGATACTGATAACGCTAACAGTCGGACTGGCAAGGCCAGAGATCAACATTTCTTGCCGCTGTTCCTGTGAAACTGAGAGCTCCTCACAGTCTGGCTCCACTTTACAGCAGCTCTCCTCCTCATCCTCCTCCACCTGATCTACTCGCCCCTCTCCTACGGAGCGCACCTCTTCTTGACATCTAGCTCCCTCCTCCTCAATTTCCTCCACATTCTTTGCTGTGTCGGCCATCTTTGGGGACTGGCATGCCACAATTTGGATATTTGTGTTTTGGGAGGTGCTGCTACCCCTGCCAGACAAAGAGAAAACAGGTTGTCACTTTTCCCAAAGGTGCATCTTTTTATATCTTTTCAGAGATAAAAATAAAAAGAACCCATGAAGCACCTGTTCCCACACGGCTTTGCTCGCTTGTTGGCAGCTGGCTGTGGCCACACCACATGTGCGATACCTATGTTCACCGGCTGGTGGGTGGACATGGTCATTTGGTTGGTTAAGAATGGCTGAGGATGTGCAATCATGGAGCTGAAATGGGGACCATGGGGACGCACTTTCCTGCAAAATAAAAGGATGTACGTCAAAATTCTACCTGTCAAAGGATATGGAGTAACTTAGGGGGGAAATAAGGGAAATAACACAGCTTCAGTTCACTACATCCATTCCTGAAGCAACCCCAAGTAATAAAACATTAATAATTCAGCTATATCCTACATGACAACTGAAAATAAAAGTCTGTAAATCAAAGTAGAAGTAATCCTAAAATAGAAAGGAGTCTCTCACCCCCAGTCACTCAGTCTCTGTGTGCCAGTCACAGAGTCAGATGCCAGTGTGGTTGGTGGTGGGGGCACAGATGTAACCTGCTGCCAAGTGGGCACCAAGATCTGCTGCGCCCGACTCGACCAGGCCTGTCAGCACAGAGCAGAGAGGACAAATGAATGTACATGTTTGATCAGCTGTAGTTCCCCGCAGAACATTCCTGATTAAAAATGCTTTTCTGCAATTGGCTTCAGTAAAGAAATGAAATTGTTCTGTAAAATTCAAACATTATAGAGAATTGGTCCCACAGGAAAAAAGTTCTGTACCTCAATTAACAGTTTATTGTTGAGCCATTTACATTATTTACATGTAAACGACTGCGATACAAACTGCAGGTGTTTTTTTTTTCCATTCAAGTACCTTTTTACATTTTGTCCTATGACAAACAAAAAGTTTAATATATTCTTATGAATCTATGTAATAGACCAACACAAAGTAGCTCACAGCTGGGAATCATATTAAAATACATGCATATTTTTAACTTTTCCAAATAAACGTGTGAAACCTGTATATGGTTACAGCTAGTTGGAGAACATTAATGAAAGCTGACCCGGGTGATGGAGAGGGCACAGAAAACATGTTCCACAAATGTTTTTTTTTTGTTCAGATTGGACCAAATGCTTGAAAGGGGGAAGAACTAGCACTGCCTATAACCCTGAACAATGACATTAAAAGTTGTCTAAGAAAACATCATCCCCACAGTTAAACATGAGGGAAGCAGAATCATGCTTTTGGGATACCTTTCTTTATTTAGCTTCTCTGAGCAGATGGGCAAATGAATAGAGATTGATAAAGCAAAACTTTGGAGGAAATATATGTGCGAGTCCGAACTAAACCTGGGGTTAAGTTTCACCCTAAAAAGGGGTAATGACCTTGGACATACAGCTAAAGCTAAAGGGATCAATGGTTATCTATCATGGTGCTAAAGAACCACTGCTCTGCATGTTCTAGGTATTTGCTTGCTGACACACACCTGACTTAAATTAATCAGCCATCTGCAGCACATGGTGCCTGCTGAGGAGTCTGTCAGGTGTGCTGCAACAGAGAGACATCTAAAACATGCAAGGCAGTAGTAGTTGAGCAGCAGGATTGAGATCCACTGGTTTAGATCAAAGGATATACCAATGTTAGATGAGACCAAAATCTAGTTGAGATAATAATAAAACCTGCAAAGAACAGGCAAATGCCATTCTTAGGATTTGCACAGCTTGTAACAGGATACCTCAAATTATTTAAGGCTCTAACTGCAGCGAATGGTAACTCCACAAAGCTTTGACTCAGAGAAGCTGAACACATGGCAAATTTTCTAGATTCAACACTGAAAAAAAATTGAAATGAGGCATCACTTCAAAATGTTATAAAACAATAAAATACAATAAAATAATATTCCACATCAGTGTAAGTATCAGGATCCTCCTACCTGTGTGATGACTCCAGGTCTGATCTGTAAGGGCTGGATCGATGGCGCTTGAGTAACCAGAGGTACAGAAGCTTCCATACGGACGGGGTAGCCAGGTGGTTTAGCACTGTTAGAAGGGATACCTGAAGATACAATGCAGAGGATATTTCACCTTAATTTATTTAAATAAAAAAAGAAATCTTTAAAAAGTGAAATAAAGATTGACAGTCCATATCCTACCTGGTATTGTCGGGGGACACAGAATGAGAGCCTGCTGAAATGAGTCATTGCATCCAAACTGGGCACCGCCAGTCTGCAGCGGTATCCCAGGGTGCATCACTGACGGTGCGGGTGGAACTAACCCCTAAAGACAGGGTAAAATAACATGAATGCTTCTTGTCTGCCAGAAGGTGGCGACAGCTCTATGAACAGGGGTTATTTAACATTTAGGAGGAATGATAGAGAGTGAGTAGGACTTCAAATCCACACAATAAAGTCCGTTTTGACAAACTCAAATTGAAAAACAAGTGAAACTTTTTTTGAATCATTTTCTGTTGAGTTGCTGTCATGTCATATAAACCCGTTTTAAACCAAACTGATAAAATGACCACAGCTGACAGTCTTTACATGGGATTGATTTATCCAGGCCGGTCATTTTGGGTCAGACTTGTTTGTTGAACCTAGATACTTAACAGTAGAGCTAACAATGCTGAACAGAAACAGGTCAGACCCTTTAAATAGCGGAGCATGTGCTTCTGCCTCTCTGCTAACCCAGCTCCCGTGCCTGGGTATAATCACATTTAAAGGATAACGAGAACTAGGGCTATATTGTTCTGCTACTGCATGTAGCCCAGCCCCCCCACCATACACATGATAGTGAACACAAAGCAGCCTTTCAAATGGGTTATACTGCATCTGTCACCACCTTCTCCTGTGAACGTCTTCTCAGCAGTATTAGATACAGCTTTAATTGGAAGATATCAAATCTAATGTGTAATGCCTGAGAAAATCTCCTAATTATGTTAATATTTCCATTTATCCAGAGTTATCCTCGGCGTGATGACTACCAGGTAGAGAAACGGAGATGTTTAGTAGTATACAGATTTAAAACAGCTTTTTTTTTTTTTTTGGGGGGGGTGCTCTCTTCTTCTCAGCAACAACACTGATTTCTACTGTTGCCATGACCTCAGAAACATGACGTCATGTTGTTGCCATGACAGCAGTGCTAGGACGCAATAAGACCCACAAGTCAGCATACAAAATGGGCAATAAAAACAAGAAATCAGACTATTAGAACAAACCAAAGGAACAGAACACCAGGTGTCAGAATCTGTTATTCCACCATTTTGGTTTCCTGGAATTGTTTTTTTTTTATATCTACTGGAAAGAAAAAAATTACCTTCTGAGAACAAAGTCTGTTTAATTATTTGGTTTATTTGTTGGTCTGTCTGTGGGGTGATCTAATAAATGTTTTGCATGGGTATTTACACCTCAAATGTCTATGAAGATAATTGAAAGGTGCTTGTAAAATGTAACCAACTTACTTGGGTATGAACGGCTGGGATCTTACTGAAGGGGAGGTTGGCTGAGGCAGCAGTGGTTGTAGTTACAGGTCTGACGAAAGGACCTTTATTTCTGTTGACAGCTTCATATCCAGAGGATCGAGTCCAACAAACGTCCATGATGTGGAAACATGACTTCACACTGCAGACAGGAAAGTGGTGGGTGAAACGATCCTATTGATCAGCAGAGTGTCTTACAATGGAAAAACCATCTAGAAATAAGAATTAATTTCTTAAATTAAGTGTGTTTACCCTTAATTTGAGTAGGCAAATGCTATTAAAATAAGATTGAAATAAGACAATGTAATTGTTTTTTTTTTCCTATTTTACATGTAAATTGTCTTGTTCCTTTGGTAAAATGTCTCACTTTCCTCCTCAATTCAAGAAAATAATGCATTTATTTTAAGATAAAATTACTTAGTTAGATTTTAATTTTTTGCCATGTCAAATATGAGGCACCACAGACTCACTGGTTGCTGTGGGGGAAGTCAAGCAGGTGTTGCATCGTCACAAATGGGTGAACCAGAGCTTCGGCAGGGGCAATCCTCTCCTCCGCATCGATCAGCAGCATCTTTTTCAGTAGGCTCACGAACTCCCGGCGGTCTGCCTTCTCCGCTAACAAGTCACAACCTTCCAGATTCATCATCAAGTTCACCTGCAGTATAAAGGGTGGTCATTAAAAAAAACAAAAATAAAAAATGTGGAGATGCATTTCTAAGTATTTTTTCCCAACTTTAGGAAACCACCAATTCTCTGTTGATTCTAGTATCTATTATAGAACTGGAAGTCAGAAATCATGCTCCAACTTTAAACAGAATAATTATTTAAGCTTTCAGGCTGCAGTAAGAGTAAAGAGCAGAAGTGACGTTACAGACTGTGTGAAAAGAGGAACTTCACTTTTTACAATTTCATAAAACCTAGAAGAAATTAATTCTAAATATTTAATTTTGGAACTACTTTAGCATAAAATGAGGTCAGCGCAGCTCATATTCCAAGGACAGCAGTTTCTGTGTATTCCCAAGAGAAAACAAAAACCCTGTCTTTACTACAAGATCGTTTAAAGGCTGCCAGTAATTCAAAATCCACATTTAAAAAATAAAATATAGAAAACTCAAAGGGATACAAAAGATAAGACATCACATATTATTATATTGGATTAGATTATTATTATATTATATAATCCTTTAAGATAAATGGTAGATTATGAGGAATGTTATACAGATCTAGGGTTAGTTCCCTTTTTTAATTGAAGTAAACACACCTGAAGTTAACGCTATAAACTTTAGCCTAGAATATCCCAGGGAAAATAATCCAAATGTTTAGTTCATAGTTTTGCTTTCAAAGCTGTATCATCTATAGTTCTCTTATTTTCTATATTTCTATATATATTTCCATCCAAACAGCTCAACATACATGCGCTATGTCATCCAAACAGCTGAAGATGTACTTCCTGGCTTCCTTTGATTTCATCCCCGTCTCCGCCTCGTGCTCATCTGTTGACTGGGGAACAAGAAAGCATTCAGTGAAGACAAGACAGAAATGTGGTGAAGCACTTCCTGACTATCCTGCTGACAAAGACTGAGCTGCTCATGTCTCTATGAGGATCAACTATATTAACACAAGATTAATAACAAATGTTTTCTTAAATAAATGTATGTTTCACTTGTATTTTGATGCCATCCTTTCTTATTCTGATGGAGCTGAAAGTACCATTTGCCAACAGTAAGGGGAGTAAAAGGAGTTCAGGTTTGACTTGTGATATTCATCTTTATCTGGACACTTTAAGCAAAATTAGGATTATGTGGATTTGACTAGGAAATTATATTTTTCCATGTTTCTGCAGCCTCCTCACCTTCAGTCTCCATGCTGCATAAGGTGAGTCTGACTCTTTGCAAAAGAACCGTGCTGTCTTCGTCCCCGTATTCAGCAAATGTTCGCCTGGCAAACCTTGTGTCTGCGAGATGTAGCGAATCTACAGGACATAGACAAGACAGGTGTAAAAAAAATATGCAAAAGAAAAAAAAAACATTTCACAAGAAAAGAACCCACAAATTGCCTGGTGTCTATCGTTTTTTTTTTTTTGTCAAAGATTCCCTACATCATCTAATCCACAGTGACATCCTTCTTTAAGTCCTTTCGGGTTACTTTAAATGGAGGCCCTTCTACTCTGAAAAACCTTTTCTGCAATAAAAACAAAAACCCATCACTGTGCCACAGCTTGTGCCAATAATAACTAAAAATGTCAGGTAAACTCTGATATCAAGGTTGCAACAGTCTGAGTGCTTCCCAGGGCAACGGCAGATAGCAGTCAGATGCTGTGGTGTAAGAATGTCACAGATTTTTGAGATGAGTGGCGAGAAGCCCGGCTGACGTCAATCACGCCTAAGTGTAGAGAACAACAATCATTAGAGATTCAACACAGCTTTTAAGTAAAGAGACCCACTTAGAGAAGGATGGTTTTGATGGTTTCACATGTTTGAAACCTAAAGCGTGTATCCTAACATAGGGTTTTAAACATATTTCATAAAAATAAAAACTTTTTTCCTTATTAAAAATGTTTTTTTACTCTTTTTTAGTATTGATTCAATAAAAGAATTGATACTAAGATGTGTTTTATTGTGAGTGGAACAGTGGGCTTGCTACAAACTATTGGGTCAACATCCCTTACACGTTCAGGAACTTTAACTGAACATAAAGAAGGTTTTAATACGTCTTTAATGCAGTGCTGATCCTCCTATTTGCAGCTAAAGCAGTTTTAACATTTATGTAAAAACTGTCGAAAAAGTTTAGGAGTAAGTTTGTGGGATCTTATGTCTGTTGTTCCAGGGGAGTATCTATGAGGTGGAAGCTTGATATTGGATGTGAATGTCTGTCTCAGCTCTAAGATACTGGGGCTGCACAATATTAGAAAAACATGTGATAATGTTGATGATAAGTTTATGGCCTAAAATGAATAATCCAGACTTTGTTTATGTTATTGGATAGTCATAAAGAATAGACAATCCAATAACTGGAGGGAAATAATAAATCCTCTAATAATTTTTTCTTTATTTATTCATGTAGGGGATTAAACCATTGAGATGAACCTCCTCATTTTCTAGGGGGTTGAAAAACCATCATTAAGGTATTGTTGAACGTTTTAGATCCATAGGGGTTTACCGCCATACCAAGCTATTCATATGGATCAGGGCAGCCCTAAAATGTGCTTTTTGATAGACTGATAGGATAATGAAAATTCCTAAAAATCCAATGAACAGCAACACTGCAAGGTTTCTGTTTTTTGCAAACTCCCCCACTTATTTTTTTCAATTATTTTCCAGGAGATGTGAAATTAAGCTTAAATGTAACTTCCTGTATCAAATATTGATTTCTCTCTTCATTCTGTGCATGTTTTCTCCCATACTGTTTACATTTGATCATTTTCACTGCTAAGCTGCAACTCAGTCACTGTCTTAAAGCTGTATAAAACAAAATTTCATTTTTGATACACTCCGTGTATACAAAATGACAATAGAGTTTGTCTATGTCTAAGTCATTTAAATAAATAAAAAAAAATCCTTTCTATAATGCAGGATATCTTCACAAAGCAAACGAACAGCTCCAATGGCGACAAAAGAGCGATAGTTTCTTGTGGAGGGAAATTCTTGCAAGAGTTTTTCCTCGAAGGCCTTATTTGCTCAGAAAGATCACAGTTCAGTTAGATCCTGATGCTGGGCTTCAATCTTCCAAAACAGCTATCTGTTTGGCCTGGACTGCTGCAAATAAGACAGTGAGTACAGTCTTTACTTTATGACTTCACATATAGCACTGCTGTAATACATGCATTTCAAAGTATTTCCTCAGCACCTTTTATATACCTGCAATCCAACTCATTCATCACATGTAATGTCATGAAAACAGTTTCCAAAGAGGATCATTCAATCTTCTATGGCCTTTACACTTCTAGCCCCAGCTAACCTAAATAATAGTTGTGCCAAAGACTAAAGAAAAGATTAGCTGCCACAACCACATCGCTTGCAGTTTATCTTTTAAAGCTACCAGACAAGAATCTCTACACAATCATAGATGTCGTCATGTCGAAGAAACAAGAAGCCTTGTAAAGTATAAGATAGTTTGATTATGGGATGAGGTAAGAGGAGGAGGAGCGAGAGCTATAAATACAATATGCTGTGTGAGATGAAACAAGACCCGGGAATGAAAGATAAGAAGAAAGGGGGAAGACGGCAGTGGGAACATGAGTTACAGCCAAATCATCCGCTGACCCTAAGATGACACTTCATACCAGCACGCAGCTGCTTAGCAAATTAAAAGAGGGAATTCTTCAACGGTTCACAAAAAACCATGCTGATGGCAGACATTAACGCAAAAGGTGGGTTGTTGAAATGAGGGCAAGGGAGACTACGAGGGGCATAATGGCTTGGATTAAATGCATTTTGAATGAACTCCTTATGTCACTGTTTAATGTTATTAATTTGATGATGTGTAACATTATATGACAAAAATTAAAGCTGTTCTGGTTTTTTTTTACTGAAATCTTTTGGACATTTCTTTCTCAAAAGCCTAGGATCTATCTGAACGTGCATAAAGGTTTGAGTTTATGTAACCATTAAACTCCTCGGTGGCTCAGACTGGCCATTCTGTCTACATTTCCACAACCATTTAGTGAAGCCAGCTCCATAACAGCAGGCAGGTCTGAGCAATGGAGGGCAGGATTAGAACATTTCAACAAAAAAGAAGCTCAACCAAACTAACTCTGGAGCTTAAATACTCTCCCATTTTAGGCTTTGATCTCTGTCTAATAAACTAACACATTCCTTTCTCTCACTTCTATTACATTTCACAGTCACTACCTTTAACAGTTGTTATATATTCAATATATGTATATATATATTTGTTTTTAGCGTACACCACTTTTTTTCAGACAGTCCCGTTTTAAAGTGAGAAGCCCCCCCCCCCGAGATATTTCTAAAGCAGCTTTGGCGACAGACTGACTTGTTCTTACAAAAACAGATTAATCATCTTTAGACTTTTGTCACACTGTGCTCAAGTCGAATCTCTTTTCGAAGATGTTGAGTTATCTCCACTGTTGCAGTTCTATGGAGGCTGAAAATTGATGCCGGGGGCATAAAAATACATCGCTATGAGTGCAGTGTCATAATATAGGATGCTGCTAGGGAGAGAAGAGGATCTAACTGAGACTCTATTGGCAGGTTGTGAGTCTACTGGGCTCTGCAGCAGGGGGGGAAAGCCGCTCAACATAAGCCCTGATCTGTCTGGTCCAAGGAGGATACCATCAGGGTTCCACCGAGAGGAAAAGGGGGGTTAAAGCTACCAGTAGACATACCATCATTCACAATCACAAGAATGTGCGCTTCTGCTCACTGTGACACCAGCTGACGCCATCCTTTAGGTCGGTACGTCACCAAGAAATATGTTCACATGGGGACATGTTTTCCCTACTGTAGGTCCCATTAGCAGAGTATCTTCATCTCTTTATTAATCTATTACTATGTTTGTTTAACAATCATTTATTTAACACAAACATCACAGTCTTAGTGTTACTAGAATTCAAAACACACAAACACTATGACTAGTTTATTTTTGTTTCAAGCTGAAGGACTCTGCTCGCAACTCTACTGATAATAATGACCTTTAAAAACTATTTCAATGGTAACATTCTCTTTGGGAAACATAGCAGATGTATTCAAGAACATCATTAGTACTATTTACAGGACTTAAAGACGGAAAAATGGCATAAAAAAGCTGCGTTAACACTAAGCCGAGGAGAATAAGAGAATTTTTCTTAGTAGGTAAAGAAAAGAGATAAATAAGTAGAAAAAATGAGAAGATGCGCATTGGAAGGAAAGTCCGCTGAAAAACATTATAGTGCAGGAGGAAAACAGAATCCAAAGAGACTGAGTCATTAAAAGATGGATTGAAGGAGGGAAGGGAAGCTGCATGAGTCATTTAACAACACAGGCTCTGTGCAGGGAGGACAATAAAGCCGGGCATACACTGGGCGATATTTTCAATCGTTGCACGCAGCTCCAGCTCAGATTGCACGACGATACCGCAGGGTTTAACAGTTCACAGCTCAGTATGTGTGTTCTTATACTGTGCGGCCCGATGCTCTGATGCGATCTACTTGCTCACACTGTACGTCCAAAAACCACTTGGGGACTGAGCTCCGAGAGATGGCGCTGGTTAGACTCGTCAATCTGGGAGAAAAAGAAAAGGAACTCCCTTGTATGCACATGTGCAATGCTCGAGGTTCTGGTAATTTGGCTTGTAGTTTTGCTTCAACAGCAGGATTTGCTCAAGAACACCGTACGACGGCCGACTGAATTTCAAACATGTCTGATTTTCTCCCGACCTTACGATTCATGATAGGGAGGTGGTCGTGAGAGGCTGATCGCCCCTCATTACCCCCTGTATACTACAAGACGCAGGACGCACAAGGAGGCTGAAACTCAGGCTGATCGAAAAATTCTCACACAACTGGAGAATCGTCCCGAAAAGGGCAAAGAATCATACAGTCTGTGCCTGGCTTAACTAAACTCCTGACAATTCTGTTGGCTGATGAAAGGTAAGAGATGAGAAGGAATTTGTTTACCTGGTCATACTCCAGGGCTCCGGGGTACAGAGGCCAGCCGAGAAAAAGCTCCGCTATCACACATCCTAGGGACCACATGTCTATGGCTTCACAAAACGGCAATCCCAAAATGATCTCTGGTGCCCTGTGGAACAAATAAAACACACAACTTAGCCCAAAGTAGCCCAGAAACAGAATGAAGTTAGATTATGAAATGTCAATCATTGCATATATACATGTCAAAAACCCCCATGACGACATTTTACTGAATTTCTTAACCCTTCGTCTATAGAAATGTGACTGAAGCATCAGTCTACTGTAATTAAAATCTTCTCACAAAAGCAGGAATTATATTTAACGATTAAAACACAAAATAATATTTTATTTCTAACAAATTAATTAATTAAGTAACTGTATATGTACAAATTAGGCATTTTCTATTTGCACAAATAACAGCTGTCCAATTAGGCTGTGAGATTCCCGATGACGTCTGCTTTGATGGGATTGTCGTCCATGTGTAACAGAACTAAACGACCCATAAGCCAGTGTTGAGTGTATGACGGAGCCAAGTGGCAGCCTGCTGTGGCAGTAGGCAAGCAGGTCAATCACAGTGGGATCAAAACAGGCAGGCCTCCCTATCTGTCTAGTCTTACAAAACGGAAACAAAATAAGAATTTTTTCTAATGTGAAGCCTGCTTTAAGCGTCAGGGTTATTATTATATTCATTGACAGGAATTACTAATGAAAGAAGGAGACTATTGGTAGCAGTAGGATAATTGTGCTAAGTACAACAAGCCTCACAAAAACCACCACGAAATTTAAATTAAATTTAGATGTAATATTTTCCATATTTCCTGAACCATCTGATGCTAAAGTCCATTTATTTCTGGACACCTCAAAGGACATTATTCTTCCTATACCATGTTCACTTCTGGAAGAAGTAAATCATTTATCAATTTATACATGAATGTTTTACGTTTTTCACAAGAAATGGCTGAGTGGACTATTTGATATCTCTTGTTGTGATACATTGCACAAAAAATAACCGTGTTTGGCCCCAGAGCCTGCAGCACAGTCAGCTGCAGCTGTGATATAACCAGCATAATAGTTTACAACAATCCGGCCATTTGACTAGAACTTTTTTATAGCTGTCCTGCAATACTATTTAACCCTGCAGCCAGACAAAATTGAGGATTTACCCAGACCATGGTATAAGATAAATGTCCCTTCTGTTCAGCAGATAAACATGACGGAGCCTCAGAAACCAGCTACCAGCATGAAACAATCCAGAGGACAGAAATAATCTAAAATATGATGCAGGAACTTCTGTAACATCCTGTGTTTTCTGTTCCCCAAAAGCTTCGCATACCAACAAAGAAAATCCTGCTTTCATGTTGACCATCTAAAGAGCCTAAAGGGATTCAGGACATACCTCCTCCATGACGTCTCTGGGGCCATATGGGGCTAAAGCATGCAGGGCATGGACAGCAACAGCTAGTCTGAGGCTAAATTGGGTTTTAGATCATTTTATTATCCAACAGAGGCAAATGAGAGCAACAGTTGGCATGCAACAGCCAACCCTTCTTTAGGAAAAGCAATTACTGAGTTATGCCAAGCATTTGAAAGAAAGCATGGTTTAAAAAAGGAAAATAACATGTTTTGAGGACAATCTTGTGATTTCAATTTTTTTTTAATGACTGTCCGGCTTGAGGTTACAGTGTTTTAATTTTTTACTACATAATAAAACGAACATGCAGTGTTTTTGTGGATACAACAGCCATTTTAAATACACTAAGGATTAAATTCTTTATCACTAATGGACAATTGATCTTGATAGAACTGATCCTAATTCCATTACAGCCTCAGAATAAATTATTTTCCTACTTTGGCAGATTGTACTTTCTTCTTCTGCTGTCACCAAAAAAATACTTTAAATGTCAGTCAACCTTTGAAATTGGGCTTTTAATTTGTTAACTGCTTAACTGTTTTGTAAATGTAGTGAGGGCTAAAAAGGGGCCTAGTGTTTATGCTTTGTTAAGACTTACATTAAAAACGGGAAGAATAACAACATATTAAAAATAGACTAGAGCTGATATTATATTTATTTTATAGGAATACTTGTCTTCCATTAAAACCTTCAGTGAATTTATCTTACTCTTTTGTTATTTCACTGCTTAGTATTGAATGGTTATAAAGCGAATGGGTTGATAATAACTTCTGGGAATCCGTTAACATATAGTATTAAAGGAGAGCTGCTGAGCTTTTTTCGAGAAAATATACTGGATATATTGGAACAACAGATGTTTTGTAATCAGTTCCAAACACTCAATGATTGCATTTCCATTTAAGGCACTTCCTCACTGGAAGATCATGTCAGACTGAGAAAAAAAATCCACAAACGCCTTTATTCTATACCCAGCTTAATCTTTCTTTCCTTTCATTTCTTTTCATATCTTCTCCAAGGTTAATGCGTTGAACTAGTGCAACTCTAAAACCAAAATGAAGCAAAAACAACATAAAAAAAACAGTACATTTGTTGTACAGCCTAAAGAGAAAAGTGGATGTTACCATGGTTGCAAGGCTTCATCCAGATCAACTCGAGTAAGGCCTTGTCACCCTCTTTTTAAAGCAAACCTGTTTTTTTCTACGAATTTGACGTAAAACATCAGGAGCCAATGAATGGCAGAGAAACAGAAGCCTTGTGATGTTTCCACTAAGTGTAAAAAGCAGACAGTAGGCGGATGGGCAAATGTGCCACGTTTTGCTGCGGAGCAAGAAAAAAAGGAGAACACCAGTTTGGCTTCAACAAAGTAAAGAAATCTGTTTTATGAACTAACTTGATTCCTGGAAACAACATCTAAAGGAGGAGTAATTCAAACAAACCATTAAAGACTTGATGACTCCTACCATAAACAGGTGGCTTAAATCGAACACAGTCTGTATGTTACAGTCAGGCTAATTCTGACCCTTTAGAGCAGTAAATGATGCATCATATCAGATCTTATGTCTATTACTCCACCGGTTGGCAATGAATAAGCACAAAACATTAGCTTTTAACAATGTTACTTGATCCTCATAATCACAGAAGACCAATTACTGTTCCATCGTGTTGTGTAAAAGATGCTTTTAGCGTCAATTAACTGATTTCAAATACAAAAAAGGATACACTTAAAAATACTGTAAAAGTCAGCAGTAAACACAGATCAAGGCCATAGTCCTCGTCTTTACTCAGATCTCAAGCGTGACACCAAAACAAAACCAGAACGGACAGAGCCAGCAGTAGCATGCTTAAATTTTTCTAAGCAAAAAAAAAAGGTAGATTAAAAAAACTCCCTGGAGATCCATAATCTCTCTTGCTCAGTTAAGTTTGCATCAAACTGCTGCTACCCTATGAACAGAATCCCCTTTCGACCGCCCTGTTATAACATGTTAGGCAATAAGTTGCTTGTGAAGCAGAGCAAATGGGACTATACATATGGGCTGACATTGTAAGTAATATTAACGAGTTTGCTCAACTATCCTGATAACCTGTCTGAGTATGGACAAGTTCTCAGACATGTCTGCAGGCATCAGTCTGCCTTTCTATGGCCATTATTAATGCATCTATATCCACTTAATGCTAATAATTGCTTTGAAATAGCAAGAGGTCGGCTCTCAGGTGAATTATATCGAGCTTGTTGAAAATCTAAGCCAACAAACTTAATCTATACAGATTTCTACTCATTTCCAAACATCTTAGTTAGCATTAGCAGCCATGTTAGAGGGCATTATCATTTTTTTATTCATACCCATTATAACAAAGTCCAGAAATAGCGCTGCAACCCAACTTATTGTGTCCTCAAAGGGAGGCAGAGCGTAAACTGACCACAAAACAGCAAACATGGCTGACCACACCTTCAATCAAAGAAGATCAGTGTCTATAAGGGAAACTGAGAACCACAGAAACTCAGCGGAGTCCAGACAAAAGTAGAGTTCTAAGCTCAGTCGCAAAGAGAAAGAAACAATATGGCTGCTCAATAATGAGACAACAGAGGCTTAAAGCATGCTTCTTCCAGGAACTGTAATTCCACACACTCTCAGGGCATCCTGCATTATTAAGTGGAACCCAAGGCAGCCGTGCAAACGGAGGAAGAGGCACATGCGCTCTGACCTGCCCATACTATAGATAACAGACACAAAACCTGAGTCACGTTTTACAGATTTAAGCAGGCAGAGTATCAACATGCAGCCATGATTTACTTTTCCAGTTATGGTATAAATACTGTTCTTGTGTTTGGATGGTTCATGCAACTAAAACCTGAAGGATTATTTTAAAATTCTATCAGTAAGGGCAAACTAAAGTGGAAAGAAGTGAGAACAGGTTTAATTATTTGCTTTGCTTAAAGCCCGATGGAACTTTATCAGGCAGGGGAACAAAGCTGCGAGTTATCAACTTTGAATTCATGTTATATCTGATGTTTAGCGAACAAAGACAATCATTAAAATTTAAATATATAAGCTTTCATGAATTGAACACTTCAAAGTCAAGGAGCTGGCCATTGTCACAACAAATACACAAACTTTATCTTATAAACAATAAAGCTGTAATGTATAGATAGCAAAAGGTTTGATATAATACCCGAGTGCTGCTTCCTTTTTTTTTGTCTTCACGACCACATTTAAAGGGTGTGCAGAAAAGATTAGCTTTTACTGTAATAGTATTAGCTACAAATTTTGCAAGAAAGAGGACATTAAAGTCTTTATTTAGATCATATTAGTTAATTTTTAACAAAAATAACATCTATCTAGAAGTTCTTATTAGCCATGCAGGTTTAATAATTAAACAACTTCAATCCAATTTCTTTTACAGCCTTAATACACCCTTGTTATTATGTCTTTTGCTGCAGGAGAACAGTCGAATGATATGCATAAAACTTCAATACTTCCACAACACCAACAGAGACACCAGTAGGTGGAATGGGGAAGTAGGGCAGATGTTTGTCTTGGACATGTGACATCCATTGGGTGCACAAAGCAATAAAAGAGTAATAAAATTTATAACAAGCATGTAAACACACAATCAAAGTCTCAGTCAAGGATTTGTTACATCTCAATTCAAGGTTTTGAACTACATGCCAGAGCATAAAATCAATCAGACAAGCAGAG